GAAATGTAAACCTAATGAATTGTTTTAATCAGAGAACATTAACAGTAAACAATTAAATGCTTTCATAACAACGGATATAAAAACAACATTTATTTCAACCAGGAGCTTCGGGGGCAGGGGGGATTAGAGGTGAATAGTGTGGGGAGAAATGAGTCTCAAAATGAGAGCTACTTAAACTCCCTAAGTATTAAATTAACATTAACTAAATTAAAATAACATTAAACCAAATCAAATTTACAATAGGTGAAAATAACTAAACACAAAGCTAGAAATGAATTATTTTAGTTCAATTGTCATTTTGGTACTTGAATATGTACTAGCAAATGTGCTGTTGGCTTCTGTGTTTCTGATGCAAAAAGAAATCCTCTCTACCTCAAAAACAAACTCCCTTCTTTTGGACTAGTTGCATTTCCAGGTTATTTCTATAATACAGAAAACCTTAGTTGCAAATTCAATTAAAAAGAAACTCTGAGAACCAAAAGATAAAATATTCTCACCTTATAACCAAAACTAGGTGAAGGAGATCCAGGACAATCTCCTGGACAAGAGAAATACGGACGCGGCATTTTCTAGAAGGTCTTTAGGGGACTTTTTGATGTAAAATGGTTGAATCAGAATTGGAAAGACAAGCAGGAGTTGACAGGGCAGTGTCTTCCCAGAACCAGTTTCTGAAGGTTGGGAAGGGAACCAAAGACACTCATTCCTTCTATACAACATTTCCGTAATGTTCCCTCAGGCAAGGTAAGTAACCCAGGCCTAGGTTTTGTTTTCCATAAAATGTCTACTGCACAAAGTTGCAAGGATAATAACAGACAATATTCACCAAGCACATTACTTGCTTATAAATTATTTCCAAAACCCTACCAGACAGGTATATTGCTATTTTACAGATGAGAAAACTGGCCCACAAAGAAATTAAGCGACTTATCTAAGATGATTAAACTTTGTAACCTAGACATTCTTAACCTCACCTTGGAGATCTCTGAACAACAACTCAACAAATACGTTTCCTTCCTTCTCAACCAGCAATTTATTCCTAGCACAGCTTGAAGAAAAAAGGAAATTTCGCATTTTTTTTTTGAGCCACCTACTATCTACATGGCATGGCAGATTAATTTATCTATCCTCATAACAGCTTTATGAAGCTGGCTTAGGTTTCAAATAAGCTGAAGCTCTCCCCAGTGAAAAACTTTTGTTTTACATGTAATTGTTATCATATTGCTTTTCTGACATAATCAGTCCTGCCAGAGTTTGAGCCCTATGAGCCAGATTTTCCCAGGGCCTGATTTACACCCTGGGAAAAAATGACCACCCAGGTTCCAGATATACATAATTAAGAATACTGTGCAACAAGCAGCCTTGAGGCCTGCTGTCCACCAAAGTTCTAGAATATACTATCTATTGAATTTTTCAACTCCAAACTCCCGCAGAAGTAATGCAAAGCAAAGGGAAATCAGTAGACATCTTTGCGAATTTCCCACCCTCAACTCAGTTTGCCTTATAAATGAAATCTCTGTTGTACATATCATCTGTTAAAAAGCATTAAGCTCTATATGCTGCATTTGAAATTTCCCAGGATATTGAAATTCTACCTTTAAATCAGTTACAAAGTACTAATTAAGAAAAACAAATCAAAGAATCTCAGTGTATTTGCAAAGCACATCATATGCACTTAAAATACAGTTCCCAGAGAAATAACTGCCCAAAGGAAAGCCATAAAGCTATTGAATCCAAAGTTTTTACTTTTCTTGACATGCTTGCTTTCTATTCACTTCAGAAACATACGGTTATTCATATGGGTTGTCTTTCAGTGTTTGTAACCTGATCAACCAAAATTTGGGAGAGGTGCGTTTACTTAATAATAAAGAAAAGACAAAGCACAAAATTGATTTCAACTTGTATGGATTTTTTTGGTGGGTGGGGGCGGGCATTTAAAGATAGAAGTATTTTCCAATAATGACCACTTTTAGATTCTAACCATTAAACATCATTCAAACAGAGAAATCAGAAAGTAGAACAGATATGGTTCCGCTTATCCAATGTCTAGACTAGAGGCAAACCCCAAATACCAAAGAAGCATCCATGTGTCAAACCAGCATAATTTTTTAGCTATGCCTAAGGGTCACTTAAAAAAAAACCTAGCTTGAAAAGAAAATTTAGGAGGGGTAACCGGGAATCTACCCCAGTTCACACGAACTAGGAAGCTAGCAGGGTTAGCTAGCCTTTACCCTGTGTCATTCCCCCTGGAGGAGCTTCCTCCCCAAGCCCCCATATAAAATCTCCGAAGGGCCCAACTCCCTATGGGCTTACTTCCTCAAGGTCACCCTAAGATAATGCAGTGAATAATCAGACACTGAGTCAAGCATACCTTTAAGTCAAAATAGATATCCCTCCTCCAAATCATCATATAATACTTTAAATGCCACCAAAACCAAACTCCCGAACTTTAATTTAGACTGAGCAACGTAACATGTTCCCTTTTGCAATATAAATCAAAAGACTAGGCAAGTCTGACAAACTTCAGTTCAAAAACAGGTGCTTTCTGTGTACTTTTCATGACAAGGTCAAATTAATTTTTTAAATTATTAAAAGAAAAAGGGAAAAGACGTTTTCTTAACCTTCCTTGAGACAACATAAAGAGTGGGGAGAAATAAATTGCTGGGGTAAAGCTGTCCTGGACAGGGTCCATGTCTGGTTAAGTAGTAATTCCTAATCTTCCGAAAGCCTGTAGTAATCTAAGGTCTATTAGATGGCAGAATGAGAAAAACAAAGAAACCGACTAGGGGGTCATAGTTACCAGAACAAACTCTGCACCACCCTACCATCCCAGAAACCAAACCCCCCTCCAACCAAAAGAAACCCTGCCCCTCCCGATTTCCCCTCCCACGCGCAAACACACAAAGAAAACAGCCGCACGCACAATTCGGCCACAGTCCTCACTTCCCTTCTTAGCGACAGCAGGAGCCCCGAAACTTCCCCACGGTGGTTTTCTGGTGTCGTCGGGGCTGGGTTCCTGGACTTGCGGACCAGAGCGGGGGGAGGTGCTCGTCGCACTCAGTTTCTCCGAAAGCAGCAAAATGCCCCCCCTCCCGGTCCTTCTACGGCCCTCGAGTCTCCCCCAAACTGCGCTTTCCCCTCCGGCTCGCGGTGACGGCAGAGACACTAAGCCAACAAACAGAAACGCTCCCTGGTGAATTTCTTGGTAAATAAGACATCTTGGGTCGGGAAGAAAGTTCCTCTTTAGCGCTGCTCGCCAGGGCGAGGGCAGCGGGAGGTGAGCCGCGTCCCTCCCCTCCTCCCTCACCTGCGCTGGAACAACGGGCCGCCTCGCTCGCCCTGCCCGGCGCCTCCCGCAGGCCGCGCCTCCCGCACGCTGCGCTGCCGGGGCTTGTTCCTCCTCATGGCTTTGCCCTGACGTAATTCAAACATGGCAACAGTTCGACTTCAAAGGCGAATCCACAGACCTCCCAGACACACACTACCGGGCTCCGGGTAACGGGCCGAGAGCTCCGAGCCACATTCTACTGGCCACTTGGTCGCCGCGGCAGCGGGCTCCGGGGTCGGGATGAAGCGCAGGGGGCCGCGAGGGCTCCCACCTCTTCGACCGCTCGCCCGGAGCAGGGAAGCACGCCGCCTCCCCGCGCACCAGCATGGCACCTCATACAAGTGGCGCAAAGTTTCCCCACGAGGAGCTGAGGGACAAAAGCCCCTCCTGAAGCTCGCCCGAACTTCGGAGGGCCCCAACCCGGGCGGCCCTCGGCCCCGGCGGTCGCCCAGAGAACCGGCAGGGCCCGCACGGGCACATGCGGCTCTTTGTTTTCTGTCCAGCCGGGCGCTGCCTACGTGCAGCATCAGGGATGTCGGACTGTTTCTCAGGGGCAAGACACTGGCAATCACCGCGGCGAAGGGCTCAGACCCCGAGCCCATTAAGTCAGGAGCCCTGTTCTCCGGTCCTCTCCTTGGAAATAGGCCGATTTAATCAAAGTTTCACAATGCCCTTGATGAGAAACACCCCACACAAGTGGAGAAGTTGGTGACTTTCACTCTGCTTTTTAAACTGGCAAGACGCCATCACCAGCAAATCACATTGTCCTGCCGGCCGGACCTACCCGACAGCGACCGCATCGCACTGCTGCTAACAAGGAGCCAGACCTTCAAACCGACGTCCGACTAAAACCCAGGTCGCAGCCCAAAGCACGTGGTCTGTCATGTTTAGCACAAAAAGCAGTGCCCTCCGGAGTTCACTCACTCCTTCAGCGCAGACAACGCAACTGCCTCCATCCCCAAGGCAACTTAGCTGTAACTGGCCATCTTAAAGCGCAGTCGCCCTAGAAAGCCCTCGCCATTGCGCCCATTACGCTACAGGTGAATAAATTGGTAACAAAACTTAAGGCTCCAAAGAAACATCGGACACCAAAAGCTCCATGGGCGCGGTCCGAGCAGAGCAGGCATTGCAAGCCGGGGCTGTTGTTAGGCAGCCGCGTGTTGCTCATTGTCGCATCCGCATCCCTCCGGAGTTCAGCAAATAACACCACACCGCGTGCACTCGACAAATCCTAGCACTTACCCCAAAAGGCCGATTTAAACCCCCTCACGCCCGCCAGCTCGGAAGTAGATATGGCAACTTAGTTTTCGAGCGAATGGCGTTTATTGTCCACCCTTATCAAAACACACACAAGAAGCTGCAATAAACTAAAGCACGAGGTTTAACAACGGCGCCCGACCATTACTGGGGCTCGCGCCCACGCCGATGCACGGACCCGAGTCCACTCCACAATTGCCAGCAAGTCGTTTTTCTCTTGGGCCTTTCGGCCACGGAACTCCTTTTAGCCAGAGAACACTGAGATTGAGAAAAGTCATTGTCACCTTCAACGTGGATCCCTCAACGCCAGCGACTCCTCAATTATTTCCAGGCTCCACTCACTCTCCCATCCCAAGACTTTCGGTTTGCCTCAAATACCCTCCCCCTAATTAAAAATGCACAGTAAACATATGCATACAAAAGAATCTGGAGTCTGAAGATCACGAAAGCAGCGCTCCCAGCAGTACCATCTCCAAGACAAAACTTCCTGTGTGTGTGTGTGTGTACGTATGTGTGTGGAACGACTGGGGGAGGTGGGTGAGGTAAAAAGAGAGGAAGGAAAAAAAACCCTGAAATCAAAGCCTCGTGAAACAGTTTTGCACCAGAGTGATTGTTAGTCACTCACCTTCTAAAAGCAGCCGTTTCACGCGCAGAAACGTTTCCGAGGTGCGGAGTGCACGCCACGCCAGCACCCCCCCACTCCAGTCGCTCTCTCCTCCTCAACTGCCTTGTCTAGAAAGATTGTCTCCAGCAGTTCTGCAGTTGCTACCGCTGGCCGGGAAGGTGTAGATTCCGCTTTCCTTTTGCGCACGCGCAGCTCCCAGAACAAAATTCTCTTGAATCGAACTCATTTGCATGCGGGCGCGCGCGCGTCGAGGATTGGGGAGGGGAGAAGGCCCGGCGGCCGCGCGCGCTCCCGGGGCCTCTATTGTCCTTTTAAGGGGAGAAGCGTCGCGGCGCGGGAAAAGAGGCGGCCTGAGGGAAACGGGGGCGGGGACTGCTTACTACTGCAGACGTCACGTAAACAAACGGCCCCTAGCTGGAGACGACGGCTGAGGGGGAGTGGCGGGATGAGAAAGGCGGAAAGGTTAGCCACGAAGGGAGAACACGACTCCGTGACGTGCTTTCCATCCAGAGGTTCCGAGGGCGCACCGTTTCGCATTGGGAAAAAATTTTGAAGGCTGTTTCTGTAAAATTTTCACACCTGTGCCCAGTTTCTGGCCTAAGGTGACAAGGAAGGTGCTTTTGTAAGCACCCTGGCTGAATTTATCTTCTCCCCTGTCTCCTAAATTTTGTTTGAAGTTGGGTTTTTGAAGCATTTTTTTTTTAAATCCTCGGGCCAACAGAGATTTATTTTGCTTGCAATTATAATGGGTCGTTTAATAAAGTCCCATTTTCACACCCTGTCCGTTCACTAACTCCCGCCTGCCCTTTTCAAACAGTAACTCAACCCATAACAATCTTTTTTTTTTTTTTTCCTCCACTTCGGCCATAAGATTTCAAGCCTGTGGAAACTAATGGTTATTAATTTCAGTGGGAACAGTGCTGCTTTCTCAAAAACCTAGTCAGTGGAAAGTCAGTAATCCAGGGACATGAATACCTCCTCCAGCTGTTTGTAAAGGGTGTTCCACTCACCCAGAAATAATAGCGCTAACTGATCTTAGGAATTGAAAAATTGGCGAGGGAAGTACGGAACTTTTCCTTGTGGAATAATCTAAACGCTTCTAGACTTAGCAAAAAAAAAAGAAAAAAAAACCTGAAGTAACTCTTCTCAAATTGCTAAATGGAAAATCAAAAAAGAATGATTGTGATACATCTTTATCCCAGGGACACACTTAACCCCAACAGGCAGAGACCCTGATTTAATGATGCAGGAAGGGTGGGGAGAGGAAGGATGTTTATCCCAGAAATTTGATATTGGTCCCAAGCTACAAAAGTGTGAACATCAACCATAAAACTTAATCATCTGCTGACAAGTTTCACTGCTTTCGCTGTAATGTCAACAATATGGATTTAAATAGATACTTGTGAAATGCTAATTCAACAGCCAATTCCTAGTACACACAGTACAAATCCACTTCTGAAGTCTTCAATTTATGCCGTTTTTTTAAGATTCTTCAGCATATTATTCCTGTAATTGTATATAAAAATTATTTTTTAATACCTGTAAAGGAAAAAAAAAACACCTGACACCTCTCCCTAACACGTGAGATTTTATTTCTTACTCATTATTGCATCCCAGTGCCTACAACAGTGCACAACAGATAATGGATTCTGAATAATTGTTTGACAAATAATATATCAATGGACATGTTCAAATTTATTGTAGATTTATCTCAAGCCAAAACAGTTTTGCTTTAGTTTAGAATTTCTGTATTTGACCTAAAATGAGTTTGGAGGTCATAATGATCACCTCGATTGATATAATGCCATCTCTTTCCTTATATAATAAACAAACCTGAATAGGCTTAATAACCATTTCTGGGCTTTCATTGGTGGCACACTGGACCCTGAGCATAAATTCCTACCTTCTTTTTAAAGAAAATTTTAAAAGTTGTCCTAGGTTATCTCGAATACTTATTTGGTTTATGACAGATCCTCCAAAAATAATTCCAAGTTATTATATGTCATTCAAGGTGTGAAAATTGCAAGTATCATAATAACATTTTAAAAAACTTCTATTGTTGCTTACAACAAATATATAGAAGTGTACCTTGAGTGCCTTTTCTCTTGGAAGTTTATGTAAGAACATATTTTTTAATTCCGAGGATGAAATAGGTTCAAATGTGTAAGCATTGCAGGAATTACAGTATTTAGAATATACTGTTCAGATGAGAAAGTACCTGGAAGCTCCAGACCTACTGAACTAATACCATGTAGCATGATTTCCTCTGCTTTCAAAGTAGAGGTTAGAAGTAATCTGGGTAGTTTTTGTAGGAAAGTTAAAAACAAAACTCTTAAAGGCAACTTTGAATTCCTTAGTCTTTTTTTTTTTAACAACCACCTGCTATTTTTGAAAGACCAGGTGCATTCCAAAGGTTCTTTTGTTCATTTTGTTGCTTGAATGTGTTGTTATGGCTAGCCTTATCCAGGGCCAATAGCTCATTTATGGGATACTTAAAAATACTATTACCTACCTAAGCAGCCAAGTGAATTTTTGAACGTTAAAAAAAAAGAAAAAGGAAAGGAAAAATATAAACTTGGATTACAGGAGATTGAATTACACCATGTTAAGAAAATATTTGAGTATTTTTAAATACAATAGTGCTATGTTGAACTTAAATTCACTTAAGTTCACAAAAATATTATAATTGAAAATACAGCTAAATAGCCAGATACTCTCACTAAACCAGCTACCTTGCTTATAACATATTGTAGCTCAATGCTTGAACATTCATTCAGCAAACATTTAATAATTGTAACTATGCACCAGACAGTGAAACCATTTCAGCTCTGGAAGGGCTCAAGCCACCTCACCTCTCCTAATTTCTTTCTGTGCAATTCTACTTTATTAGCACTATTCTTCTTCTATAAAATTTATTGCCTTCTTTTGAGATTTACTTGCTGTCCACAACTTTAAAATTTATTATAATTTTCTTGTAATAGAGGAAAAATTAGATTCAAAGATAGAAAAGAACAATTCTTGCTTGGTAATGAAGGATATTATCAGCAGCTTAGTAATGTTTGTAATGACAACTGAAACTAATGATTGTTTTTTAAATGAAGTCTAATATCTTCATCCGAAGCAGGTACCACATCAAAACATCGTTTGTTGAGCCCAGGAAAGAGCTGATTGGTATTATTAAACATTGGGATAAATTCCTTGGAGGGTAATAGCTATAAGACTAAATCAAGAGCTCTTTTCCTCACACCAAAGCAAGTACAGTATTTTGTTACTTATTTGTTTAAATCCTTTTGAAGTTCAAATAAGCAAATGGTCAGAACAAGTCAGATAATTTTACACTATAAGGTACGGGATCGGTTATGTGATCTAAAATATCCCAATCCTCCAACAACCGTTGGCAGCTGCCAGAAAAAGGTATCTATTACTTAATCAAAATTCACTTTTAAAGTTTCTGAACTTAAAGGATTGTCAAAAATTAATTCTTAGAAAGTAACCTCTGGATTTATCACTCTCTTATGACATTTGAATAGCATACTTTAAAAAGATAAAATTATAGGTAATAAAGATAATTTTATTTCAAGAAGAACATGGACAAACTAGAATGAGTTCACAGGACAGTAAACCAGGATGATGAAGGAGGCTGGAAACCACAGCATAGAAGCAATAACTGAAGGAGGGAACATGTTCAGTTTGAGCAAGATAGCAATCTTTGACTATCCGAAGGACTGTTATTAGAAGAGTGAATGAACTTGTTCTTTTATGCTTTGGAACAGAATTAGTTTTGAAAATCACAAGAAAGTAAATTCTTGCTAAATGTAAAAAAATTTTCTAAACATAAAAATAGTTTAATGATGGTTCAAGATACTTCAGAAGGCAACTCCGCATCACTAATGATATTCATACACGCACACACACACACACACAAAGCCAGAAAGTATCATTCTTCAATAATTCCATTCAATTAATTATATTATTTAGGATATAAAGATAGCTAACCTCTAAACTCCCATCAAATTCTATAAATCTATCATTCAGTGAGATAAGTGCCTCAAGTTCAGGAGAGGTATTTATCACTGTGGCTGGAGAGGTTACGAATATCTTTTTGAAAAGACTGGGATTTGAGCTTAGACATTCATTCATTCAACAAATATTTATTGAGTATCTACTACCTGCCTGGCTCTGACAATTAAATGATGAGTAACACAGAAACAGTACCTCATGGAATGTGATAGGCAAGCACTCCAAATAACCACACAAATATAATTACAAACTGTGAGAAATAATAGAAGAAAAAGTCCTGGGAGCCTAACCATGTATGACAAAGGAATTTAATCTAATCTGGAGGCAAAAGAAAACTTCCTTGAGGAATTGAAGCTGAATTACTATTAGATGTAGAACTGGAGAAGAGCTTATCAACTAGTGGCAACTCCAGGAACAAGGTCTTAGAGATAGATAGCCAAGTACTCTGAGTGGTAAAGAAAGACATGACTAGGAGAAGAATCATGTCTTTGACGGAATAAAAGTCCTGAGTGAGTACTGTTGAGGGAAAAGATGATATTTGAAGTAACTAAGAGGGAATGCCCAGCAAGTGGTTGGAGAATGAGAGAAAGCAGCACTTAAGTCTTATGGATTTGGGAGTTACCTACACTGAGTTAGAAATAGTTGCACTACCCCACGGACAAACCCTACGATTAGGCTACAATTGGTTTAATCACTATATATGTCTTCTATGAAAATTTAGTTTTCTACATGTCAATAAGAAATTGATCCCTCAGCCATAGAGTCCACTTCCTGGAAAAAAACTCTGTTCTAATTTTTCAAGTCATTACTTAAGGCAAGTATGCCACATCATCAACAGATGATCAAGTGAACAAGTAAAAACAAACGGTAAAGAAAACCAAAGATACATGTTGGGTTGCTATTTTTAATAGCTCCGGGAATACAATGTCTAGGAATCTAGAATAATTTAATATTTTGCTGA